TCATATAAAACACCGCGTTTAAACTTGGAAATGCAAAAAAAAAATCCAAACCGGGCGTTAAAAAATGCTCAAAAAATCAAAGAAGAGTTGTAGGTTTAGATTTTGTCAGACTAGATACCGTTTTTAACGCTTTAAAAATCTGAGCGTAAAAAAGAATACAATTGAGCGTTTTGAGTAAATTCAATAGTTTTGTGGCTTTTTAAGGCTATCGAATCAGCAGTACTTTTTTTGAAAGTCACTCTTGGTCTTTTCAGTTTTCTATACGGAATGTTTTGTCAAATTAAGATCCTTTTAGTGCTTTAGGAACGTAAGGCAACAGTTCTCAACAAGCGACAAACAATTCGTAACACGCGACAACTCGTAACTAGCGGCAATTCGTAACAGTAGATTAAGCGGGGAACACTGATTCATACCCAATATTCCTCTCGAGCAGGATGTAAGCGCAGCGGAGCGAAGCAGAGCAAGCGTATTCTACTTGCCAATGCCTTATTACGAATTGTCCCTTGTTACGAATTGTCGCCCTACTTTACCCGAAAAACTGCAAAAGGAAGCTGGTCAACAATAATTTTGGACATCGGCTCTCTCGGGAAAATACTCGATCCGCGCAAAATTGATACTAAATGCTTTCTTACTTTCCCAAACGACACACATGTTCTAAAAGCGTGTTAAAAACGAGTGTAAACGAAATAAAGTTGAGCGTTTTGAGTAAATTTGCTCAATTTTTTTTAATGACTTGATTTATCCGAATAATTTTATCTAAGCCAAAAACGCTTCTCAAAACGTTCATGTATTTCAAAAAGTCCAATGACGAGTACATTACAAAAACGAGTTTTTTCATTGTTCAAGCAATTATATCAAAACTAAAACAAAAAATGTTTGGATTAAAAAAAGGCCGACAAAACCTCTAATAGTTTTTTTCTGATCCGAGCTGTTTCGTACCTAATAATAAACTGAAAATAATTGTTTTTCTATCAAAAATCTTGGTTTCAAATATTTTTTCCAGTAAAAATTGGATACCAGGGGGAAGTTTTGATTGAGTTTTTTTTAAATAAAAACTTGGGCATGCGTTTTGTTAGACAATTTTTGCGACCGTTTTAAAATCTGAATTTGTTTTGATAACTTTATCTAAACCGTTTTCTTCTACTTTTAGCTCAATTATTATGTTTAATAGATTATTTACAGGCCGTCTATTATTTACAGCTTATTTACAGCCCCTTTACTTGAATCCCTTATAGCTTAGACTTACTCACTAAAACTCAGTCCCATGAACTTGAGTTGTCTTCAAAAGGTGTATAAAGATTTTTCTAAAAGTTTTCAGACACAGTCAAACTACACTTCTATATTTAATTTTTTCACTTTGTGGTCTTTTGCATGAAAAATTATTGTGCTGACAAGAAAATAGCTATTTTCACTAAAATAACCGATATGAATAAGCGTTTGCCATTAATTTAGCTACAAATTTTAAAAGGCCTTAAAATCAGTAAAAAAAATATTTTTTATTAGCAATTTTAACTCATTGAAATGCAGCTGATTCAAAAAAAATCGGTGTTGAAAATAAACTTCAATTTTTTTTTATTTCTGGGAAAAGCATGGGTTAGTGAAATGATTTTTTTGCACAATACTGTAAGATCAAAAGGTAAAAATGTTTTCCAAAACAATTTGTAAACCTATTAAGAAACTAAAACTGGCCACCAAACCCTTTGCCTGAAGTGAACTGTGTAAACATCAGAAAAAATTGTTATAATAAAGATCGTTGGAAATTTTTCAAAATTGTTCCCTAAAAACTGACAATAGACTGTCTGACTTTTCTCGTTCATAATTTGATTATCTAGATAACCGTATAATGACATGATTATAAGCATTAAAAACCTTGTTTTTTTTATATCTACGCAAAGTGTTTTTGTTAAGTTATAATTTCTCCTTGTTAATTTGTCAATGCCTAATCTTAATAAAACTAATTTGCATTCAAATTAGAGTCAGTAAATATAGTTTTTGCTCCTTTTTTATCTGAAACACATCTCGCTTGAAGACAAAAATTGAGCATTCTCACAAAATAGAAGATTGAAAACAAATCAATCAAGGAAAAACTACAAGCAAAAAATCTTTTCACTGTAAGAATGACGTAAGTTTTCTTCTAGCATTCTGCCAATTTTAACTTTCATTGATTGAAAAATTTGATTGAACTTCCTTTCACTAATTCAATAACTGATCAAATTAATGCTGTTTTTTTTCGCTTTGTTAAAATAGTTAATTAATAGAAAGAAAGCGCGGAAAATACATGCAATAATTATGGGAACAGTGCAGACTGATTTATATCTTTATTAATAGATATTTAAAAGTTTTTAAGTTGATTTTGAACTAAATTGCCCACTGTGAAGTAGGAATTATATGACAAGCTTTTTTCAATCCCAGTAATAAAATAATGGGACAAAAATCTATTTCTATTTAGAACCCTGTAGACATTCAATCTCTGTACTGATAGTAAAAAGCCAAGAAAACTAGAGGGGGGTTTGTTTTTTGTGCAGGCATATTTTTACGGTTCAGGAGAAAGCATAGAAACTAAAGCTTACTGCCTCAGAAATCATAAAAACGATTACAAAATAACTCACTAAATCAAGATACCGTGTTATATCTGTAGAATTAAATAGATTTTGTCCAAGCATTTAGCCACTTTTCATTATTATTGTTTCACGAAGAGATAAATTTTTTTTTCAAATACTGAAATTAAAGCATATTTTTCTATTATTGTAGAAAAAGCAACAAAAAATTACCATGAAAAAAAGCCCAAGGATTGGGCAAAGCTTGCAAAGATTATAACATCAAGAACATAAAAATGTTTACGGTAGTTTTTCAATCAAATATTTTTTTTGCTTAGACTTTTTCGGCCAATTTATTGCACTTACCAAAAAGTCCTTTGAAATTTTTGAAGTTTCCTTTAACTTTCATATTTTTTCACGTATTATAAAAAAAAACAGATCACTTTTACTCTTCTAACTCTAACTTAAGTCTAAACATATTTATCAAACTCTAGACGTTTTCAGTGGAAAGGCCATTTTCAATTATATTTTCTTTTTTTTTCTGATGGCAGCAAACTGCTTTCTGTTTGCTTCCTTTTAAAATTCCTTTTACGCGTCCAGTGTCTTTATATAACTGAAGAGAAAAACGCGACAACTGGTAGGAAAGGACAATTCAAACAAAAAACTTGAGACTATTTCAGCGACTTCTTATTTTTCGGGAACACTCAAAATAAAAGAGGAAAACTGCGCACGACGTTTTATGATATTGGCTCCATGATTTTTTTCATTTGAGTTCCAGTTCCTTTGATTCATTATCATAATGCATCCATTTTGTAATTTTCTTGAGGTTTTTATTCTTTGCCTGTTTTCGATTATGTAGTTAAATCCCAATATTAATTGAATCATGAACATTTATTTTGTATTGCCTAAACTTGCTTTCCATCTCAGAATCTGTTATGAAGAAAAAAGTCAGAAGAACAAATTGTAATTATTTTTTTTTGCACTTATGGGTGTTTTAGACATTTAAGCCCATCAGAATGTTTGTTTTTATTCTAAATTTTAATCACTGTGATAGATTTTAGCGGATATGAAAAAAGACGCAAAACCTTTAACAAAAACCGCAGTTATGAGCGACAAATGCGGTTTTAAACAAATTTTATTGCTTTTCACAAGATTCGTTTCTTTTTGTTTGCGGCCTTTTCGTTGTTTTATTAAACGTTTTTTCCTCAAAATATACGCCCCTCCAATTGGATGTTAAATTAAACATTTCAAATTGAAAAGCAAAGAAAAAGACAATCTCCATTATTTTTATTTTTCTCGCCTCAAATTTCATCTTTCTATTGTGATTCATTTTAAGCGTTTTTGTAAGTTTTCTTTTGAAAAAAAAAACATTTTTTTTTCTACGAGAGAGATGAATACATAACCAAGAGCTGAATCAGAAGTTTATTACTGTTAAAAAAATTGATTATGTGACACGGAAACTTTATCTGGACAACTGATGAAATTGTTCGTAAGTGAAGTAAAATCACATCCATCCGCACTGGAGTTTCATAAAAAATAACCAATTTTATTGGATAACATACCAATAACAGTTCCTTTATATTGGATAGATAGTTGCAGTTTTTGAACTTAAAATGGAATTTAAATCCATAAAAACCCATGTCTATCATTTAGATAGAGAATAAACCATGTGTACATTTAACATAGTTAGAAAACAGCCAAAATGACATTTTAACGCATTATTAGGACTTTTTGGCTGAATAATTACAATTTTGGGTCGAACTGCTGGATTCAACCTATGGAGAATAAGTAAATGGGGGCGGGGAAGTTTCAGAAAAAATATGAATAATAAAATAGGGGAAAAATGTAGAGAAAAAAAACTAAAAACTAGTTAAGATATTTCTAACCCACTTTATATAATCTGGCGCCTATTTTGCAAAATTATCGTTGAACTTTCCGGAGAGTTTATTTTTTATTTTCTAGAACTTTCTGGGAATTTTTTTGAGGAATTTAGGTTCTTTGAAAATAGAAGCAGTTTAATCGATTTTAAATCAATGATAATTGATTTTTTTAAAACTAGAGATCGACTATAAAATGACAATATAATTGATTAATGTCGTAGAGTTCCGCAGTGGCAATCACGGAAATCATCATTTATCAAAAGAAGGAAAAAAGAAGTTATCATTTGAACACAAGACACCTTTGAAGTGATTTTCACCTCGTGGGAATTACTTTCAAACCTATTCTGGTATTCCGGTTAGAATATCAAAAAATAATTCCCTTATATATAAACTTCTCTGCAATTTTTGATTGAGATTTTATCGTTTTCGAATTATTTCGAACGTGCCCAAAGTTCAATATTGCTTTGACGACAATAACAATTAATTTAATTAATTTTAAACAATTTTTCTTGACAGTATCAAATGCCAAAGCTGAAATGGAAAAATTGAAACAACAATTTGAGAAAAAAGGTTCTCGTTTTAGTTAAGAAAACGCAAGACAACCGGAATTGGGGACGAACTCTGTCGAAGAAATGCCCCAAACTAGCCAGAAGATATCCTGAATGCGAATTTATGTACCAATTACCTAACCCTCAATTTTTATTACCTCAGTAAAGTACATCTACAATATTGAGGCAATGGAAAACTCCACGAATATCGATTACGTAACTATGACATCATCATCACCGTTCGTGTTGCAAGAGTGGATCTCGACGATACTTCTAACTGCGCTTCTCTCGCTGATCTGTCTCGTGAGTTTAGTCGGCAACATTTTAGTCGTGGTGGCTGTTCGGGTGGAGCGAAAACTACACTCGTACACAAACTATTTCATAGTGTCATTGGCATGTGCCGACTTGCTTATTGCGCTGCTTGTGATGCCTCTCGCAATCATATATCAGGTTAGAAATTTCGTTCATTCAGAAAAACTCTTTTTTTTTTTAAATACACAGATTTTTTTGAGTGACAGAAAACACCCGGTAGCGACATATTTCTGGGCCAGCGCTAGCAATATATGCTTTGTGTTTTTTAATGCAATCAATTATCAGGATAGAAAATTCGTTTTATAAAAAATGTAGTGTTTTTTTGAGTGACAGTTAACCCGAGGTAGCGACATATTTTTAGGGCCAGCGCTAGCGATATAAGCTTCACATGTTACGCGATCAGCTTTAATACTGAATAATTTTTAAATGAAATTTGGCAACCAAAAATATTCAGGACATTGAGTGGCGTTCCAAAAGTTGTACGAAAAGCAAGAAAAACACTGTTGCTGAAAAACAAGCAAAAAACCAATTCTTCGATTTTTAAAAATTGGTTCCACAACTTAATGTCTAAGATATCAGCAAATTACTTTTGATCCATAAAATTCTTTAAAGTAAAGTTAAACATTGTGTGTATCGCGATATTGCGTGTATTTAAATTTTTATGTGGATGCAATTTTTTTGTTGAACGTCAATTGCTAACGTATACTGGGCATTAAACGTACAAAAAACGACCTGCCAACGCTTTAACTGAAATTTTATGATCGAACATTTTAACTAAAATTGTAAACACATGAATCAGGGAAAAAAATGCAATCGGTTTATAATATCTAGTATCAGTTTCTTTTATAAAACTATGTGACCGAGCCAGGCGCGGATCTAGGATTTTCTCTAGGGGGGATGCGGATTTTCAAAAAAATTTCGAAAATTTTGTCCACCTTTTTTTTAGATCAATCGAAATGATTTTTCGAGCTCTCCCTAAGCACGATTTAAGTCCCTGTTGTGGCCAAACTTTCTGCGGCGCAGACAAAATTTTGAAAAAACAGTCCAAAAAAGGCGTTTTTAGGCACTTTTTAGAAAATTTTGACCAAAAAATTGCGTTTTTTCGGCGCGCGCTCCCCTCTCAAAATTTGTGTATTTGGCGCCGAGGGCGCCTTTAGAAAAATTTTACGGTCGGTCGGCCAAAAATGGATTTCTTAAAAAGTACCAAAGGGGGGACCCATTGGGTCGGCAGGGGTCGAAACCCTGAGGAGGGGAGGAGGGAGGGCGTCCACCCCGCCCCCTCCTCCTAAATCCGCCCCTGTATGTGGCCTTGTTTTGGATATTGACCAAAATTACCCACATTCAATCTGTAAATTTCGTATCAACATCTATTGCAGTTTCATAATTTTTCCTAATTGAGCTTTAATTGAGTTTTTGTTCCGACTTTCGAAGAAAGTAGCGGAATATTTGTGCTCGGGTCGTTTTTCTCTCTCGCCTGACAAATTTCAGTTTTTAACAAGCAATTTTTGACAATTTTTTAAACATATCATCCGAAAGGATTTGATGTCTTGAGCTCAAATTAAAAAAAAATATATTTCACCTCTGATCATTTTTCGTAAAATTATGGGGGTTTGAAGATTGCCATTGTGCCCAATTCGGGGCAACTAACGCGAGATATATTTCGTGCTATGAAACGAGTAAGCGGAGGTTTAATCCTCATTAGAAATCATTTCAAATCGGATTGAGGCACGCTTTATTGGTTTATTTAATACTTTGCGATATGCAAAATATATCACATTGTACTTTAATTAGCGTGTGGCGGGATAATTTTCAAAAAAAAATCAAAAACTTTTTTTAAAAATTCTTGCAGTTTTTTTTGAAAATTTCATCAATTATTTTTTTTAAAATTATTCCAGAGAAATAAAAACACAGTCGGAAAATTCAAACCTTTGCCCTGACACCAGCTTAGTTCTATGATTGTTTTAAAATGGAGCCCATACAAAAATAATTTAGTAGAAGATATTTCAGTAAGATTATTTTTATGCTGGCTTTCCTCCAGGTCGTCAAATAAAACTCTATTTGAGATCTTAAATTCTAATTTTCATTTTTAAAGTTGAGATTTTGACTGCCAAAAATGAAAAACATTTCGGGAACAAGAACAGCTCTAAAATAAATTATGAGACACTGGCTAATCCAGGCCTTCGAAACAAAATTTCTCAAAGTTTTGCCCGGCTCTAAAATAAATTATGAGACACTGGCTAATCCAGGCCTTCGAAACAAAATTTCTCAAAGTTTTGCCCGGCTAAGTTCTTCCAAATAGTTTTATATGTCAAATTTTTAACCCTACATCTTAAATAATTGCGGCGAAAACGACATAAACATATAGAAAAATATTCACAAATCGTTCATTTGCTCATTGAAATCAAAAGTTGCAACTTCTTTGACCCGTGACTGTAATTTAAGTCTAAGACGGGATTTTTTATGTTTGTTGATCAAGTTTTTGATATATTTTTACCCGAATTTTTTTGATGCAGCATATTTTTTTTTATTTTGCCATCGAAAAAAAATTCAATA